AAAAAAAAAAAAAAAAAAAAAAAAATGAAAGAAATTTTTTTTTAACTACAGATTCTTAAAAATTCTTCAGGTCATCTATTCTGAAAGTCAGGTTTGGAAACTATTACTGCAAAGTACCACATGACCAATCAGGATTCCACTCCAGTTCAATCATACCAGAACCACAGGATCTGGATAGGCAGGCACCTATAAAGACTTCTAGGTGATACATGTAGCAAGGGTGACACCAGGCATCATGCCTTCTATATAAAAGTCCTGAACAAACTGGATGAAGAAAATAGTTCTAGGTCTTAAAAATACCTACTAAAATAGTTGAGGCAAGTGGCCAAAGTATTTGAGGGGTAGGGTTATCTCTCCTGCTCTTCAAATTAGACTACTAAAGAATTTGCATAAAGTCAATTTTAAGCAATTTATTTAAAAAAATTGCTGGGGCTGGGGAGATAGCTCAGAGGCATAAGCACCTACCTGGCAAGCACAAGGACCCAAGTTTGATCTCTCTGGCCCCACATGCCACGCAAACCCTATGCCATGTTGGCCCCAGAATTCAAGATGTGGTGGCACATTCCTATAATCCTAGCACTCACAAAGTTGAGATAGGATCACTGCAAATTTGAGGCCAGCCTGGGGGCTATAAAATTGAGCAAAAAGCTAGCCCAAACTGCACAGTGAGACCCTGTATAAAAAATAAATGAATAAAAAATAATTAAAAAAATTAAAAATTATGTAGAGCCTCTAGTGCCAAAATGTTCAATGGCAAATAAATCCCATGTCTTTCCTTAGCTTAAAAGTGGCAAGATCCATAGTGTTTATCATTTACTTGCCAGAGAAGTATAAATGAGCATTTCTATCTGCAAATTATACACTGATGCTGCTCTGCAACCTGGGATTACCATATGGAGTACTAAAATATTATTTAGTCCACTACTTTTGCTATCTGCAGGTTAGAATTGGATAAAGAAAGCTACAAAGAAAAAAATGAAAAGACCTGGACATATACAGATGAAAATATTTAATACAGTATTTATTTATACAACTCATTAATTTATAAGGCTATAAACTGTTCTAAATTTGAGCTACATCTATCTGCAGATAACACCAAAGTACAGTTACCCCTGAATCTTGCAGATCTCTCAGAGATTTTTACTTTCAGAATGTAATACTGTTTACTTACTGACATTTTCTCAGTTTACAGAGAATTCATCTAGTTATACACTTGAACAACAATATAAATATAGTATACTGTACAAAAGTCAAGAAGTACTGCAGGGCCCGGTCGTTTGTTTGCATGTCCCGACGTGGTGCCCGCCTGGTTCCCGCCCCTCTGCGTTCGGGCAGTGGCAGTAAGCCGGGTTCCCAGACCACACGCTGAGCGTTTGGACATGTCCCACTATGAGCTGACTTTGATTCTGAAAGCCATGCCACGGCCAGAGACTGCTGCTGCTTCCAAACATACAATAGATGCCCTGATGGATAGAGGGGCCACAGTACAAAACTTGGAAAACCTGGGTAAGTGCGCACGTCCTTATAAATCTCCGCCCGCAGTCAGCAGCACTGGAGAGGCGGATATTTCTTGGTGGCTTTTTATGCACCAATTACAACTGTGCAGAGCATAATGGAGCACTTGTCTAGGGACATGGGTGTGATTAGACCAAATCGTGAAACACCGTCTAACCCAGGAAGTATACGAGTGTGAAGGCATTGTCCCAGTCCCACTTGAAGAAAAATTATATGCCCCAAAGAAAAGGAAGGAAGAAGGACCACAGATGTGTTCACCTTTGGTTAACTCCTCTCACACCAGACGAGCTTGGATGACTAGATACAAATGAGGCCTTTCGCTGAGTTTTCTAGGGTGCTTTGCTTTTGCTGTCTTATTTTGGTAAGAAGTAGAACTGCTGGCTGAGAACTCTCCTATTGTCTGTGGTACTGCACGATTCCTGATTGTTTTCATTAGTGTAATTTGCTTGTCAGTGTGAACAGTACCATTATTCTGAAGAACAAAATGTAAAGCAGGGGCCGGGGAGATAGCTCAATAGAAAAGCACTTGCCTGGCAAGTGCAAGGGCCTGAGTTCAATCCCCGGTTCTGCCAAAAAAAAAAAAAAGTAAAGCAGCCTTGGATGTAAGCTAATCATTCAGACTGTGTATAGCCATGCAAAAATAATAAATGAAAGCTGCTGTATTATAGGGACAACTTCTGATCAGAGAAATAAACATGATTTTATAAACTCTCCCCCCCCAAAAAAAAAAAAAAAAGTACTACAGGTCAAAAAAAAAGTATGAAAGGGTATATACAACGGTAGTTAATCCAGAGGTATTATAAAAGTATAGGTCTTTAGATAAAATATCTGAAAACTTAAATTTCAAAAGAAAAAAAAAATTTTTTCTCCAGATAGAATCTTGCTATATGCAGTCCAGGCTGGTCTTAAATTTAAGATCTTCCTACCTCAGCATCCCGAGCGCTGCGGTCACAAGTATATGTAATCACACCTAGCCCTGGACCATTTATCTTTAAAACCAATTTTCTATTAAGACAGTTATGATACAAGCACTTGAAGAAAACAACTGGGAAATAATTTTTTCTATCCAGGTATCATTTACTCATTTGTACACTCACATGCCTAAACTGAATTATAATTCATCAGTCTATAGCTATATAAATTACTCCTTATTTACAAATAAACAGGTTTCCCTATTCTCTAAGACATTTCCACTTATCCAAAGTAAACACCATTTTCTACCAAAAAGTGACATTTGGGGAGTTAGGAGTGGGAGGATCACCTCAAGTTGGGAGTTCAGCTGCGACTACATTGTGAGTTCAAGGCCAACCTAGACTAGAGAGACACTGTCTCTAAATAAATTAAAAATAAAATGATGATCTCTTTTTTTCTCATTCTTTTTCTTTTTGAGACAGGGTCTCACTTTATAGTCCAGGCTGACCTTGAACTTGTGGCAATTCTCCTGCGTTAGACTACTGAGTGGTGGAATTACAGGAGTGTGTCATCATTCCCAGCTCTAAAATGGTAGCTGTTCATGTAGAGTATTTAAATTATTACACTAAATAATAAATCTTACCTGAAGTTTTCTAGCACTTTGTTGCTGACACTGGTCTTTCTGAATAATTTGTTGGTAGAGTCTAGCTCTTAACACACGCAGAGCTATTTCTTTATTCTTCAGCTGTGAGCGTTCTTGTTGGCATTCTACTACTAACCCTGAAAAAAAAATAGAGACCAAAGGTAAATTGTAGCCTCCATAGGACTGACTAAAGAACTCAAGGACATTTATCTATCTATCTATCTATCTATCTATCTATCTATCTATCTATCTATCTATCTTATTTATTTAATTTTTTGCGGAACCGGGGATTGAACTCAGGCCCTTGCGCTTATTCCACTGAGCCATCTCCCTGGCCCCAATTTACTTACTTTAAAAATAATTTTATTGAGAAACAAATAGCAATGAGGCAGTTTCAAAATCGATTGGTAGGACAAAAGTGAACTGTAAACAAAATACCACCTTACAAATGCAAAGGTCTGCTGCCTGGTTTCAGGCTTTTTTTTTTTTTTTGGCAGAACCAGGGATTGAACTCAGGCCCTTGCACTTGCCAGGCAAACGCTTATTCTACTGAGCCATCTCCCCAGCCCCCTCAGGGACATTTAAAGAAGAAAGGCTGATGGGTGTGGTGGTGCACACCTGTAATCCCACATTCAGAGTCTGAAGCAGGAGGATCACTACAAATCCAAGGCCAGTTTGGCTACAGTGAGTTCAAGCCTAGGCTAGACTACAGTATGAGAAAAAAAAAAAAAAAGAGGAAAGGTTAATCTGCAAAAAGATCACACAAGATTGAAAACATTTTAGATTTGGCACAATAGAGAAACTGATGGTAACAGCTGTAGGTGACTGTTTAGATTCTGATCCATGAAAGAGATACACATGGTATTTCAGATAAGATGGATAAAAGCAGCAGACAATGTTGCACTTGCTTGTCTTCTGAGTTCTTCTTCCTCTTAACTTGTCCATGGATTTCTGCAGCTCAATCAACAGAAAACTGCTACCACCCCCTGTGCTGCACCATTCTCTGTACTACCCAAGAAATACTCAGCATCTCCCCTTCATTGATTCCTCTCCCCATTCCCCATGGAACTGATGTTTTAAAAATAACTTCATACACTGCTTGTAAAACCTTGGTTCAATATCCAGGATGCTAACTCCCCAACCCCACAAAAATAAGTGATTTATTTTGGCACATGGTTTTGTAGGCTGACAAGTCCAAGACTTGGGAAAGGCTTTAGTTCTGCATGATCCCAGGGTAGAGGGCATGCTAAGGCAGAACCAACAAGAAACTACTAAAAGGTCAAATGTGTTGGTGTACATCTCTAATTCAAGTACTCTGGGAGGCTGAGGCAGGAGGATCAGAAGTTTGAGTCCAGCCAGGGCAACTTAGTGATTTAACAAGGCCCTGTCTCAAAAATTAAAAAAAAGTGCTAGGGATGTGACTCAGAAGCCCAGGGTTCAATTCCTAGCACAAACAAAACAAAACAAAAATTATTGGAGAAAATACCTCAGAACTGAAACAATATGAGTCTCCAGATTAAAAATAGTAAAACAAATGAAAAAAGCTTAAGTGTTCCAAGTAAAAATGAGTGACAAGTATCCATGATTAATGAAATATGAGGTTAGAATAATGTATTTTCAGATATATGATGTCTCAGAATGTTTATATCTTGGTTTCCTTGGGAAGCTATTTAAAGATGAGTTTAACTAAAATGAGAGTAAACTAAGGGAGATAATGAAGAATTCAATAGACAGGAAGAACCAATATAGAACAGAAATGAAATGACAAGGAAAACCTTTGACAGTGTTTTAGAGAGCAACTGGTCCAGCCAGGACCAAGAGGATGGAGTCATTAGAAAGCATTGGACCTGTGATAAAATAGATTAATTTTACTTTACAGAAATTTTGGAAGATGTAGAAAAGCAAAGAAAGCAAATAAAATAGGTGTAGCAGCAGACACATGTAATTTCATTTGTCAGGAGGTTGAGGCAAGAGAACAGTGAGCATGAGGCCAGGCTGAAATACACAGTAAATCTGATGTGCCCTGGAACATAGTGAGACACAGTTTCAACAAAACAAAACAAATAAGACATTAAGAAAATAAAAATAATAATGCAATTATTAATTCTAGAAAAAGAAAGCTATACTACTTGGCTCAGCAATAAACACTATTTACCTGTTCATTTATATGAAATGAGTGAAAATTAATTTTGCAAAATATAAATACTTGGGAAAGTGGGGACGTAAGAGCCAAAATGCTCATATGCCACATTAAGAAATCAACATATAATCTCTATCATTAATTGATCAGAAGAGACTACATACCTGTTATTTAGAAAAACTGTTGTAATTATGAGAAGAAACAGCTAAACAAATTTAATGTGGTTGCCTCCAGGAAACAAAAATTTAGGGTTGAGGAAGGAGAAACAAGGAAGTAGAAATCCACAGATTTGCTCTTTTATTTTTGTTTAAAAAGTTTACTATCAGATTTTTTTTCTTTTATGTATTTAGTACAGGGTCTACAGGGTTTCACTACACAGATTGGACTCATAATGATCCTCCTGTTTTCAGCCTCCCAAGTGCTGGGACTACAGGCCCACACCACCAGGCCTACTCTCAATCACCACCTCAGTGCGCCCCAGGGGCAGAGCCAGCACGGCACACCAGGGATCGAATCCTGATCCCTACGTGTGCCTAAGCAAGCATTTTAATCATTTACTATTAGATTTTTAAAAACCATATACATGGGAATGGAGTGGAGGCTGAGGTAGGGGGATTGCTACTAGTTTGAGACCAGCCTGGGCTACATGAATTCAAGCCCAACCTGAACTTCATAGCAAGACCCTATCTCAATTTTTGGACTTATGTGCAAACATGAGAAGTATATAATTCTTTATCCTATGTTAAAATATAATCTAATTTTTAAATGTTTTTATCATATTATGCAGGGACTTAAAGTTCAACATATCAATACTTGATGAAAAATACCTGCTCCTTATTATGCCTAAGATATTTGAAATGCAGTGAGATAGTGAGGTTAAGCTTGATAGCCTAAATCGTTTGATAATAACAATAAGCTTTTGTCTTCTGGATGGTTAACAACCTAAGTTTGCAGACCAAAATTAGAGAAAAAGGAGGGCTGCAAGGAAAGCCAACATTTTGGCCCTAACCTTCTAAGGTCAATTAAGACTCAGGACATATGAGAACTTGTACTGTAACGTCATGTACCTCGGTACTGTCCCAAATTTTCTGATCAAGAAGATTATGGGGCCAAAAAGGAAAGTGATCGATGACGCAGAGTGTGCCTAAGGAGAGTCACATGGGGAGAAAACACTCTCTCAGGCTTTCACAGAGAGCACATTGGCCAAGCAATGGCCGTGACTCATCCACATGGCAGCACTGACAAAGGTTCTACAATCTGAGGTACAGGATCTCAGGATAAATCCTGAGGGGATTTCACTGACCTTCTCAGACCAAAAAGCTACAACTCTTGTTGCACAGGTCCTGCTTTACCTTGGTCTTAACCATCCAGTAGAAAAGTATGAAGACGAAATACAGGAAGTAAAGCCATGTTGTTATGTTGAGCTGTGGGGGACTCAGGTCAATAATTTCTGACATTGCCAGTTAAACAGAAGACCCAATGCTATTATGGTCTACTGGACTCTTTTTGAATATTTTGCTGAGTTTACACACCTATAATATTCAATAACGGAACTTCGAAAAAATAGGGTATACAGATGAATGTCCATTTTGTATCTGTGTATTCAAAGTTCTTAGGATAGATATAAGTTGCATTCTCTTAATGAATAGAATGATTTGTTCTAATGGTGTTTGTAAATAGGATCTCAAGTCTGCATCTTGTACAGCAATTAACCACTAAGAAGAATATATGCAGTGTGTTATTTGTTGAAACTGTACTTCCGATTTGATTTGAAACTGTCTCATTGCTGTTTATCAATAAAATTTTGAAAAAAAAGACCCTATCTCAAAATAACAAAACCCCTCATATATGTAATATATAAAAAGTAATCTAAAAAAGAAAAGAAAGTTAAAAATTTTAATTGTAATACATCAGAAATACAATCCATGTACATATAACAATATTTTAGCCAATTGTAGGCTGTATATATGAATGGTAATTCCATAAAACTGTATCATCTAGTGATGTCATAGCCATCTTAGTTTGTGAATACCTATGATTTTCTCATGATGATGGAACTGCCTAACAGTTCCCTTGTCAGTACAGATCATGGTGTGACACGATGTGTGTCTAGAACCCCAGCACTCAGAAGACTGAGGCAAGAGGATCACCATGAATTTGAGGCCAGCCTGGGCTACATAGTAAGTTCAAGACTAGCCTGAACAACACTGTAAGTCTCTGTCTCAAAGAAACAAAAAATTATTTTAAGGACTGCAAAACTGTCTTGTACTGATTGTATCATAATCAGCAATATTCAAAGTAACAGTAGAGCCTAAGTGACTAAAGCAACTAGCATTCCACCACAAGGTGACAAAAGGTCAACAGCAATGGCATGCCCCATATGTTTCTATGATGTTGCATTTGTATTTGGGCTGCAGCCCTCTGGCTACTCACCCCCATCCACTATACCTGATAGCTTCTCTCAGGAAGTCTGTACCATTTCCAAAAAGAGACTATTAACACAGCAGGGATAGCAGACCCACCAACCTAGTATTAATTTAGAAATCAGATATCAACAGAGAACTCCCTCCTTCCAAATGTTGAATATGTGAAAAAAGATAAAGGTGGGGCGGGGGAGATGGCTCAATAGAATAAGTGCTTCCCTGGCAAGCACAAGGGCCTGAGTTCAATCCCCAGTTCTGCCAAAAAAAAAAAAAAAAAAGATAAAGGCACAAAAGTAAAGGCATGTGCTCACCTGTGGGGATATGGACAAGCCTGACAGCACTGTCTGTTGTATTAACATGCTGCCCTCCTGCTCCTTTGGCTCGAAATGTATCTATTCGCAGGTCCCTGTGGTCTACTTTTACATCTACCTGGAATAAAAGATACTGCATAAGTAAATTCTGCAAATGAATACTTTTTACTTTTTGAGACAAAGTTGCTGCATGGGCCAGGCTAGCTTTGAATTCTCTATGAAGTCCAGGTTGACCTTGAACTTGTAATTCTCCTGCCTTAGACTATTTTTTGCTACTGGGACTCAAATTTAGGTCCTCACACTTTCCAGGCAGACACTGGACTGCTGAGCTATATCCCCAGCCCCCTGGCTTACTTAGACTCTTGAGTGCTAGGGCAGGCATGTACCACTAAGTCTAGCTTGAAGAATATTTTAATACTAAATTTATTCTGGGATTTTTTTTTTCAAATAAACCAAATTGTTTCGTGTTAAGTAATAAGAATTAGACTAATTGAATAACTTAACCAACGAAAAAACCATAAACCTCTTATTTCAGTCAAGAGTGCTCTTACTATAAATTCTTGGTATATTCTGGGGTTAAAAATCTTAAACATTACTTAATAATTTACTACTAGCAATGCTGGTATTGTAATTTTGAATTTTTTTTTTTTTTTTTTTTTTCTGTATTTTAGGGAAGGGTCTATAGGGTGTTCAGGGTCTCACTACGAGATTGGACTTATAGTGATTCTCCTGTTTACAGCCTCCCAAGTGCTAGGATTACAGGGACGCACTACCATGCTCAGTCTCAACTGCAGTCTGTGTGTTCCAGGGGGCGAGGTGGGCACAGTAGGGCCAGCATGGCAGGGCCAGGGATTGAACCCCCAGCCCCTGTGCCTGCTTGCAGGTGCTTTAATCCAATGAGCTATTTGGCTGGCCCTGAAATATTTTTATACTATTATACAAGATTTACTTTTTCACTCTAAGTGGAAAGAGAGATAAAATACAAGAAACTGAAGAGAAAAACATCTCTGTAATGTTAAATTTGAATTGGTAATATGAAACTGATTGCAAAATGTGTTTCTTAGTCTAAAAGTAAGGATACTCTAGTAATACTGAGCACATCCAATACACAGATCCTCATTTCTGAGAATATTCCCTACTGACTCTGAGAGACATGGTCAGACTGTTCCCTACAGACTCTCAGAGACTCTGAGACTGACTGACCCAGGTCTGAGATAGGAGAATATAAATGGGCCTGGGACAGCTAGTTGTTCCAGAGAGCAAGAACCAAATACTGATGATAGCCAAGAAGAGAGTTTAACCTAAAAAGGATAATAGTTTGGGACAATTTGAATAATAATAACTTGTTGGATTAAAACACAAACCCATGAATCTATAATAAAGTCAGTATACAAACTTAATATGAATTTATAATGACATCAAAGTGGAGAAAGAAAGTGGAGTGAGGAGGAAAAAGAAAGCAGTAAGGACAGCAAGAGGTTCTTTACAGAAGAATGCTAGTTAATAAGGGTAGATGAGATGACAGGATCAGAAACTCAGTACTTTGAGACCCACATGTGGGAGACTGAGGCTGCTGCCCCTCCTTTTGCTCTCTGCTGTTTTCTGCTGTCATGAATGGCTGCCCTCTGCCATATGCCACTCTGCCTTGGATCCAGCTCAGTATGGACTAAAACTTCCAGTAACTTGAGCTAAATAAACCTTTCCTTCCTTAATTCTGGGTGTTGGGTATCTTGTCTCAGCAGCAAGTGAAAAGTAACCAAGATAAAGATATATATATGAAAGGAATTAAGAAAATGTGAGAAGACATAAACAACTGCTGATTCCAGGAGAAGGTCCTAAGTTTTTATTGTGGTATTCTTTCAACTTTCTATACACTTAAAAACGCAAAAGCTCAGCAAAGAAAAATATTAGGAAGGTGTAATCAACCAGCAAGATTCAGAGAAATTTGTTTTTTCTTAAAAAAAATATTTAGCATAAAGAAAGGAAATGCAGAGATAAATGGAGGGGGGAAACAAAGAGGGAAATAAATAAAAAGGAGGTACATGTACCAACTTCCCATGATGAATGTAACCATTATGTAGGATAAACATGTACTAATAAAAAAAAGACTATAAAGTCCAATTAACAACCACAAAAAGAAGAGATTTTCCTGGAGGCTAAGGGTTCTCATCACAACACCTAAGCACAACTTTACATGGAGTGAGTTTTCACTGCCTCCTGGTGCAGTTACCTCATCTGGCTGAGGAAGGACAATGACTGACATAGTTCCTGTGTGAATACGTTGCATTCTTGATGACAGGCCCACTTCAGGGATTCGCTGAACTCGGTGAATCCCACCTTCATACTTCAAATGCTTATAGACATTCTCACCAGAAATTCGGGCAGCTGCATGATGTAGTCCACCTATGAAAAAAATTATGAACTATCAATATCAATGAGTTAGACATGGTGGCAACATGCCTAATTCCAGCAGTAGAGAAAACTGAGGCAGGAAGACTGCAAATTCGAGCACAGCCTGGGACATTTATTGGCTTAGCAATGCCCTGAGGGTGAAGCTCAATGCAGAGAGCTTGGGTTCAAATCCTAGCATGGGAGAGAAAAAAAAAAAGGATTAAGGAATTCCTCTTCATGAGGGATCACCATTCTCAGTGTGTTTTATCTAAAGACTGAATATAAGTAAAATACCTGATAAGAACATAGTATAAAACTGTATTTTTCTAAGGAAAATATATTAATATATAAAAGGAAATATAACAAATTTAACTATTATTTCTGGTTAGCTCTGGAGACCACAACAGTTCTGTTTTCTTTACTGAGATGGTGTCGAGCTGTGTAGTTCTGGCTGGCCTTCAATTCACCATGCAACCCAGACCATCCTCAAAATCACAGTGATTCTCCAGCTTCAGTCTCCCCAATGCTGAGATTACAGGCATGTGCCACCACAACCAGCTTCCACATTTATATCTTTTGTTTGTAAATTTTCTATAATTAACACATTTTACTATCATAGTAAGAAAAAAATACTACTAGAAAAATGTACTAGGACATTTCTTGAACTACCTCTGCAATCACAGGCTAATATGGTGCCACATACAAAAGAACATGCAAGAACAAAAATTTCACAATGTAGCGGCTGGGGAGATGGCTCAGTAGAATAAATGCTTCCCTGGCAAGTGCAAGGACCTGAATTCAGTCCCTGCTTCTGAAAAAAAAAAAAAAATAATTCACAGTGTTGAAGAACTCCATAGGCCTTTTCCAGATTTTTTTTAAATGAGTGCACATAATACTGGAGATTGAACCCAAGGATTTGTGCACATAAGGCAAGTGCTCCACTATTGAGTTTCATATATTCACAGCCCTTTTCAAATTTTATTTTTGAGGCAATGTCTCAGGAAGTTGCCCAAGCTGGCCACAAACTTGCAATCCTCCTGTCATAGTGTCCTTACTAGCTGGAATTACAGGCCTGTACCACCACAGTCTGCCCAGGTTTTCACAAATTTCTTGAAAATTACATTGCTTTTCTGTTGAGAAAGTTATCATGCAAGACACCTTAATATCTAGACCCAGCTTCTTACATACTGTAACATACTTTTATTATTTATTTTACGTATTTAGTACAGGGTCTACAGGGTCTCACTACATATATCAGACTCGTAGTGATTCTCCTGTTTTTTAGGCTCCCAAGCACTAGGATTACAGGTATGCACCACCATGCCGAGTCTTAGTCGCTGTCTCAGCACACTGCAGGGGCAGGGCCAGCACAGCACACCAGGGATTGAACCTCAGTCCTTGTGTCTACCTAAGCAGGCACTTTAATGCACTGGCCAGCCCTGTAACATGCTTTTAAAAACTCTTCTTTATGATAATTAATTTTCAGATATGGAAAATCACAAGACTCAATAGGACATATAGCTTATTAACTATGACTATGACTCAGGTCAAGAAAAGGAAACACAACAGTCTCCTTATAAGTCTGTCCTAAGTCCTTTCTAGTCATCCTCACCCTTCTCCATGAATAAGCAACACCTGAATTTTATTTCTGCATTTGTTATGACTGTGTTAGCTAAATGTTTACCCCTAGGTACTATAATTTAGTCTTGTCCAATTAAAAGAAATTGAGGGAGTATAGCTCAGTAGTTTGTGCTTAGCATGTTTGAGGCTCTGTGTTCAACTCCAGTCCCCCCAAGTCTCTTAACCAATATGTTTATCATCTGTTTCTTTATTTCCTAAACATTAATGATGGACTATCAACCTGCAGAATTTTTAACAGTCTAGTTTTGCTAATTGCATTCTCTGACTCATTTAACCTGTTCTTCTCTCCTCTCTACTGGCTATGAAATGGCAGTTGAACCCAGAGACTGGACTGGGCACTTGAACTCTTTGGCAAGATTATAGGAGACACATTAATTCTTGTTATGATGTGACCACTTTAATGCTTAATGCATCATTGGGTATAAACATATCATTTCATTCCCAATTATTAATTAAAATACATTTATAGAAATACCTAGTTGCCTTTCTCTACCATTTAACTACTCAGGGATATAAATATATAGGAAAAGCAAGGGCTGGGGAGATAGCTCAGTGGCATAAATGCCTGCCTGTTGAACACAAGATCCTGAGTTCAATCCCTGGTACCACCAAAAAAAAAAAAAAAAAAAAATGGAACTGTCTTATTGCTATTTCTTTCTCATTAAAATTAATAAAAAATAAAATGGAAAAATAAAAAAGGAAAAGGAGGATAAAGGACTGATTCTGTACATTTAATGGTTTATCAATAGGCACCAATATTATTTTCATATAGAATGAATTGAGTCCTTTTAATCTAAAGATAACCAATTATTTTTTAAAAAAATATTATGAACATAAGGGTGTAAATTCATCTAGCATGTTTAAATAGTTGCAGTTATGATTATTGAAACTCATCTTTAGCCAGCTTCTTCAACTTCTGAGTTCTTTGGACATGTCCCTTAATGCAGCAGTATAAAAGATGCTCCAATATTATTTGAAACATTTCTTGCCCGAACAAAAACACACTTACTAGGTATGATCAAAATATACAGTGAGGCTGGGGAGATAGCTCAGCAGTCTAAGTGCCTGCCTGGCAAGCACAAGGACCCAAATTCAGTCCCTGGTACTGCATGCTGTGTGGACCCTGGAACCCTGGGCTTGCCATGCTGGCCCTGAAACCAGGTGTGGTAGTGCACACCCTGTAACCCTAGTGCTAGGAAGGCTGAGACAGGAGAACCACCAGAAGTCTGAACTGCGTAGTGAGACCAGTATCCAATAATAATAATAAAAAAAAAAAAATAAAGTGAATGTTTAAATCTAAAAAAAAAAAAAAAAATTACAGTGAAAGACACATTGCCATTAAACCCTCTTAAGGTATTCTCCCTTGCTTTAAACACACTTACTCCACTGTTCCGCCACTTTCTAAAGCAGTCCTGGAAGTCTTCCTTATGTCATTTATGATGAAAAGTACGGTGAATGCTGCTATTTTATGCCATCCAACAGAAAAACATGTCAAAACATTATAGCACTGTGAAACCACCTCATTTACTAGATTTGGCACTATAGAACTCCCAAAAGTCATAAAATGTAAACATCTGGAATTGATTCTGAACATTGAGGCAGCCATTACAGAAATTTAAGACACTCATAAAAGATTTCCAAAACTGCTTCAGAAAATGGCAAGAAAAAGAGAATAAAAAATGAGGGTGATTAATGGTAATGTGTCTTTCACTGTAATAAAAAAAAGTTAAATATTCACTTTACTTTATGATCACATCTTGTATATTTGGGAATTTTGTGTGGACAACCTGCAATTAGTGTTAGTGAAAGCTGCTCTTGGGTTTTTGAAGTTGCTCGCTAGTTTCTCTGTGTGTTCCTAATATGCTTCAAATAAAGATAGAGGACCACAAAGTCAAGTTAACCCTGCTAGTTTTACAGTCAGTATGTTAGATATAAAGGTTTAGATTTAGACCCTTGAAATGCTTTAGGAACCAGAGTGACACATTCTATATTAATAAATTCAACATAGCCAGTGTTCCTCCAGCAATGGAATAAATTACTATTAATCTTGAGCATGCACTGAGGGGGATACGACATGAAAAAATTCAGTCAGTGTAAAAAGACAGACACACAGAAACATACCCAGGAACTGAAAGTGAAACCATGACTTTTCTTGTTGTTTTGGTGGTACTGGTGGCGGGAACTGAACACAGGCCCTTGTGTGTGCTATGCAAGGCCCATGCAAGTGTTATAAACTATACTGGGCTGTATTATAAGGCCACCTCACACACTTCTAAAATTATTCTTCTGGCTGGGCATGTAGCTCAAGCCTATAATCAGCACTATGGGAGGCTGAGGTAAAAATGATTCCAACTTCAAGTTTAGCTAAAGCAACTTAGTGAGACTATGTTCCAAAATGAAAAAAATAAGTGCTGGAGGAGTAGCTCAGTATGAATGTGAAGATGCTGGATTCAATCCCTCAGAACTATAATTAATTTTTTTCCTTATTCTCCTTTATTTCATGTTGAGTACAAATATTTCAATCTATACAATCTGAAAGGAGAAGGCTATAACTTTCCTGCATAAACTGATAAAGCCTATGTTAGGCTGAATGGGCTGAGCTTCAAATTCAAGCTCCTCTTCCTAGTTCTGTGCCCATGCTGGTTACTATACTGGTCCTTTGCTTTGGTTCCCTTATTTGCAAAAAGTAGTAAGTAATGATATAGGGCCGGTGAGATAGCAGAATAAACACCTGCTTAGGCAAGTGCAGGTGGGTTCGATCCCCGGCACCACATGCCAGCGCTAGCCCTGTTCCCAGATGCACTGAGCCGGCCACTGAGACCAGGTGTGGTGGTGCACACCTGTAAACCCAGCACTGGGGAGAGAGGCTGGAAACAGGAGGATCATGAGGCTGAGCTGTGTAGTGAGACCTTGTCTCAAATACATATATATATATATATATATATATATATATAAATAATCTGGAGTATTACATACTTGAAATAGCTATTTGTATTGAAGCTTATATGAGCAGTGTATCAAGGGACATGTAGGCATGATGAATTACAGACATATGTAGAACATTTAGTATAAATTCGGCATTTAGCTGCTGACAGCTAGTGCTAACTGAAATGAGACCATGGGCTATAGTGGTACATTATGATGTCTTATGACAGACTATCAATATCCCTGCAAACTGATTGTGACATAAACCAGACATGGTGGCATAGGTCTATAATCCCAGCACTTGGGAGGCTGAAGCATGAGTTCAAGGCCAGCCTGAACTACACATTGAAGACTGCCTTAAAACCAAAACCAAACCAAACCAAACATCCCATAAAGCTGGGGAGCTGAGACAACTGCTAGGTGAGAACAGTAAAGGTGTATTGCTG